TCAGCTACTGAATCCTTTCCTGCAACACGGCTTTGCCAAGAAGCCCAATAAATCACAGCGACCACAGGGGCTGGGAGAGGGCTGGGCCAGGCGTGAGCTTGGCGTTCACACCCCACTGCGAAGCTCCCGGGGCTCTTGAAGAAGTATCTGAAAACCAGGTCTGCCCCGCCCCACACCAGAGAGACAGAAAGATTCCCTCCCCGTGACGGGGAGCTCATTACCACCAAGACACTCGATCTGGTCAGCACTACCCTTTGGTCACTTGTTGAATCTTCCTTGGTCATGTTTGCGAGCACCGGCACTGGGCCACTGCGGGGCCGGGCAGGTGGACCTGGCAGCTCTGTGTTTACCGGGACGACGGAGGATCAGAAGGCAGCCCTGACCCAGACACAGCATGGGGGCTTTGCCCGTGCTCTGCCCTTCTGGCGACAGTTCCTTAGGTGATTTCACTTCCAAACTTTTTAGCTTTTCTTTGTGGAGATTATAATTTTACTTCGGGAGAAATATGGCTTTATTAATTTCAATAAAATGCAAACACTTTCAAGATATCATAAATTAGATGTTGAAATACATCAAAATCCCACCGAACTACTTGGGATGTGTGTGCACTGCAACCTATTCATTTCCTGTAAGTTTTATTTTGAGATATTTCCATTTGGCTTAAAAGGTTTAATTCCACTACCTGTCCTCACGTGTGCGGCTGGAAAGCGCCGGGGAGGGTCTCTCAATGCCGTTAGACTTCTAGGAATCAAACTCTACATTACCCTCCAGAGTCGGGAGTTGGAAGAATTTTAAATACATTTAAAAAATCAGAATCATCAACATCAGGCTCAATATGGAATGAGGCAATTAAAGTTAGGAAAAAAGATGCTTTAGCTTTTTAAAATTGTCTCAACCTGTACCCTTTTCTCTCATTTTCCCTACCCCAAATCTGCTCCAAATTTATAAACTTCCCTTCCCTCTGTCAGACTAGAGACTGCCGGGCAGCGTGAGCCGGAACCCGTGGAGTCCTGCGTGAGCCCATGGACACGACCTCCATCCGTGCAAAGGCTGGAGAAGTCCCGGCTTTTGCCTTGGAAAATGGGCACCTGGAGACGGTCGGGGGTCTGAGCGCTGGTCGCGAACACCTGGCCGGCGGAGGAGACACAGAGGCTGCGGGAAGACAGGCCGACGCAGGAGCCTCTCTGGGCAGATTCACCCGCGGGCGGAGCAGGTGGCCAAAGGTCCTGCCCCAGGGCCGGAGGGGCCAGACGCGGGGAAGGCAGCGGACAGGTGCGCGGGGCGCACTTGCCTTACCTGGCCTCCGCCCCGTCTGGAGCCGGAGCCCTCACATGAACCCACGGTAGGGTCGTCGGCCCCAGCCCGCTGGTCTGGGCAGAGCCCTCCTGCACGCTGGGGTCGGGCCGGAGTTTGGAGGGAGCGACTCCTGCCAGAGCTACGGAGTCGGAGTCACAAATAGGCGGGTGGCCGCGCAGACTCCCAGAGCCGGTCAACCCCATTCCTAGAGCTTCGCCAGCTGAGTGACGCCACAGCCCGTCGAGAGACGAGAAGACCCAGGGCAGAACAGGGGCCGGCAGGACACTGAAGAGGCCTGCGTTGCCCACGCCGGTCAGAAACCAAACAGGAAGAGTCAGGAGCA